AGCTACCAATTTTTTGGCATTACTGATAATTCAATCCTACAAATTATACTCGAAACTTCATTTAGGCATATAATCAAACACATTGCGTTCACGTACCTGCACCGCTGTACTGGAACAACTTGGAAGAGCTTAGCCACACCAAAGAGCAGGGATTCACGGGCATGATGCACTCGCTGATTCTTCAATTACTTTGATTCTTGAAAGTTTTTTGTTTTGATCTTTAAAATTTAAAAGTTTCACTCTTTTTTAGTTGTATTGACTGCATTGGTGCCACTGTCGGAATAAATATAACAGGCTACCGTGCAGCAAATGATGGTCCAATCTGCAAATATCATGTATCACCAGTAGCCATAAGCAAGTAGAAATGCCAGAACAGGACTCCAGATAATGCAACTAATTCTATTGCAACAACATAACATCTCAAAGCAAGAGACCGGTAACAATCAAGGAATGATGAAGACTGCACTGTGCAATAAGTGGCAAGAGACCACTGCTAGATTGCACACAGCATCTCCGAGTTGCGTCCAGTTATCAAGCATGTGATCCCTAATAGTCCCCAGCTGGCAGCACATGTGGAAAAAAAATTAAAGAAATGCTTTAACAGACCGTTGTGTATTTAAGGGGCCAAATAGACGGTTTAAGCAACACCGTCCAAAAGAGGACTATATTGAACAAAATAAAGGGAGCACATGGATGACGTTTATTGCTCTCTGAGTCTCTGGGAATCAGAGGAATGACATTGCACAAATCCTTAGTAGAAGGATGGACAAGAACAAAAATTAAAAGTAGAGCGACGACAATTGGCTTTAACTCCCTTTAACATCAATGTTGAAGAACAACATTCAACAACTCTCAATCTGCAAATACCATCCGTCACCAGTTGCCATAAGCAAGTAGAAACGCAAGAATAGCACTTCAGATGATGCAATTAATTCTATTGGAACAAAATAAAATATCGTATTTAAGAACATACACAAATGTCTTATCTGCATCATGGAATAGACAAATAACATAAAATAAAGTCAAGTTGGATTATCAGAATAATGATACTAACCATGTATATTATGACCGAAGTAAGGATTTTAAGTGAAGGATACGACCTTTGTATACCATGTATGAAATATCCTATCTGAAGGTTGCCTAAACAATTAGAAACAAACAGACTGAATTGGCAATTCTATTAGCCCAGAAAATCACCTCAGTCTATTAGAATTTATTACTACGGTACAAGAAAAGTCATTTGTATCTACATAGTATCAAATGGAGTAAGGTGTGTTACTGTGTTTGATAATCCAAGAGGGAGAAAACAATGAACAAAAGAAATCACCTATATATGAAGAACAAAGCAGCAGCGGTTGATCTAATAATGTTGCCACCAAAGTGTATCTCAAAAAAATATAACCTACTAGTGCTGAATAATTTAGCAAAGAAGATTGTCTAAAAGTATCAGGATGAAAATTTTAAATTAAATAAATGCCCCATCCATATGCGTTACAGGATACAAATTTGGTGGATAATAGAATGAACGTGGAGGCCTAACAGTTGTTTCAGATGGGTGAAACTCTTGGTGCTAGAATTGAGTTTGTATTCCCGAATAATAGGCATGTTAGGAATTCATCAAGTAGAGCAACAAAACAAGTTAAAATAAAAACATTGATGTTAAAATGTGCATGTTTGTCCTGAAATCAGCTGAGCAAGGTGAAAATACAAATATTAGTATCATCAGACCTTCACATGGGGATTTAGTGTTGACTTGTTAGAGGATAATGAACCCACTGATGAGCTTGGTGATAAGCCATTGATCGCTAGAAGCTGAGACAGAACATCTAAATTAGAAGATTGGACCTGGGTTAAGGAGAAGAAAGGTACTTCCTTCCAACTCCAAAACAGCAAATATGCATTCCAAAATCAATAACTAGTAATAATTAGATATAAGATCAATTACTCCAAAACATTAATTATTGCATAAAAGGTTGGATCGAATCCCCACACCCTTAGGTGCAAACCATGAAAGAAAGTGGGAATGCAGACACAGAGTTTAGACTTTTAAGTTCTTTTAGAGAGCTTGATAACTAAAAAGAAAACCTTGCATAAAATAATTAAGTTATAATTCTAGGCCTCCAAAATACTTCAGAGGCACATACTAGGCAGATGAGCTTAGGACTAATCTGAAAAGATAAGGTAATTGATATCATGATGAACTACAGCCCAAGAAGAAGATGTTATAGACTAACCTATTAATTACTGAAATTCAATTTAGTGAATTAAGCCTATCAATGGCTAATACTCTACAACCAATTCCATAAGATAGATATGACTACGATAGTTAAATAAGGTGCTTTACTTCACAAAGATGCCCTGGAACCAATACATAGAACAATCACAATAAGCTTTTAGACAGATTCAACTAACCATAAAGTAACTTTAACTTCTAACAATTGCCGTGGAGTCAAACAATACATGTGCCGAGAAAGGGAAGGCATCAAGAACTAGTAATTTGATGAAGACCCCCCTTTTTTTTTGGGCCAACAAAAGCATACTACTATATTAATTCATAAATTATTTAAAGTACAACAAACAAATCCGGTAACATAAACATAACAGAAATGATGAAAACCAAACCACGGAAACTATTGATAAATAGCCAACTCTGGAAGCATGATCTGCAGCCATGTTGGGAAAGCAAGAGAGTGATGGTACCCCAGCCAAAGGCCAGCACCTCATCCTCTTTTCCAAGTAGTGCTGTAGCGTAAACTCTGAATCATTCTTCTCTGGAAGAATACCAGCAAACTGGAAAAGGCTTTGTGATATAAAAAGGGATTGCTGCATACTGTGCTAATCCCCACCGCTCCAATTCCAGACCCTGTTCCTATAGAGGCACAAAACCATACTAAACTTGCAGATCTAAGCAGATTACCAACAGAAACCATAACAATATCTAGAAACACCAAGGCCAAAATGGTGCAATAGTTTTCTTCACACCAACTCGAGTCTTGGATTATGTAGCTTCAGAATAATTCTTAACCACATCCCAAACCACAGGCTATGTAACAGCACTAACCACCCTATCCAGCCATAGCAGGCACCCATCTCTATCCACTATATACTCTCCCATAAGATGACATAAAGGAACAAAACAGATTAATAAAGAATCAGCAATGGGCAAAGTTTGAGAAGTAACATAATTCCTATAACACAATCCTGGAAAAGAATAAGAAAAGGACCAAAATCTAAAGTATTTTCAATGTCCAACACCCTGTACCAACCAACCAGTTACCTCCCATCCAAGAATTGAGTCTACCACATCATGATAAAGCAAATCTAACCCCACTCAGAAATTGGTCACTCAAAAGACCACTGCCAGCCTTATTCTTTTTCCTTTTTTTTTTTGGTTCAATTAGTAAACGAGGTAGAAACAAAAAGAGACATAGGTCATACTTAACTAGATATATCATTTGAGCCCTATAGCAAGCAGCGACCCTATCCCCTGGCCATTTCATCAAAGGCAATCTTATCATCATAATAGCCATCAAAACCTAAAAAAGGCATTGCCATCCTACCATTAACCTTAGCATTAACATCAAAAATTGGATCAGCAACCATGAACATCAATTCCTCCATATCACAAATACCTTAGGTGCTTCACCAGAATTTCTAAA